AGCAAAATCGCCAACAAAAAAGCACAACAATGTAAAAAACATGGCAAAAGGATATACATGTAAGTATGAGAGCTGAACCAAGAGGGCAGAGGATTCCCTTGTTAGACAGCTGGGAAAGTGCTGTCAGGCACTGATTTTTCACAACTTGTACATGTCCATGAATGACCATGAAAGCATCACATGTATTAATTTTGGGCTACAAGTAAATTGTAGGGAAGAGGTGAATTTGCAAATACAGAATCCATGAGGATCAACTGTATATCACCATGAATCTTTTTCCCCAGAAAAAATATTTTGTTAGTATTTTGCTGCTACTTTCCAGTCTCTTTTTCTTTATATGTTTTTACATCATTGAGATTGTGATGTGGATAAAACTTCATAGCCTTTGTTCACTACACTTTATAACGTAAGCATTATTACAGATTATACAGAATCATTTTAAATTGCTTTATTCTGTTTTTTTCATGCAGCCATCACTATTTTGGGGTATTTAAAATATCCAGTAAAACTTGTAGTTTTAGTCTTCTAAATCTGAATACCCTTCCTTTTTTTTTTTTTTGCAACAGCAGACGCTCCTTAGTCATCTCTTCCCCAGTTCAAACGTCTGCAGTCTCCAGCCCGCTTACCTCACCTACCAGTCCCTCTGTACCTTCCTTGAAGAGCGAGAGGGATTCCATCTCAGTGAGTGAAGAAGAGCTGACATCTGATCCAGCCCAGGGAGACAACGGCTCTGAAGTTAAAGAAGAGCCCTTAAAAGACAGGGAAACAGAGGATGAAGAAGCCGAAGCAGGCACCTCTGAGGAGGAAGAGCCTCTGCCAGCCTGCAATGGCCCCACCCAGGCCCAGCCCTCTCCCACTGTGGAGGCTGGCGAGTCCCAGGAGGAAGTTGTCCTTGGCTCCCCAGCTCCATCTCCAGGCAGAGCTCTGATCCCTTCAGAGCAGCCTTCATCTCTCCCAGAAGTAGTCCTCCGAACCCGAACCTCAAGTGAAGGGTCTGAACAACCAAAGAAGACAGCCTCTATCCAGAGGACCTCAGCACCCCCTAATAGGCCTCCTCCACCCAGAGCCACTCCTAGCCCTAGGACCTCCTTAGGGAATACACCCTCCAGCCCTACAGCCTCTGACCAGGGTTCACCCACCAGCTCCAGGGCCTCCTTGGGAGCTGGGACTCCAAGTCCTAGGGCCTCCTTGGAGGTCTTTCTTGACCCACAGCCACCAGAGAAGCCAGCAAGAACTCCTGAGTCCCAAGAAGAAGAGAACACTGACAATGTGAACCCAGAAGAACTTCGTACTTCCCCTACCTCGATGGTCCCTCAGGTGAGAGTGCATCTGATTGAGTCTTTATTCTCTTTTAAAACCTTCCTGTAGAGCATCTTTACTATAGTCAGGTAATAGCTTGATGAGATTTGATGTCATTATAGTATAGTCTCAAGGATACTCCTTGTCATCTTTTTGGTTCTGGAGATTGTTTCACATCTTCATAGCAACTAATTTAATGACCTATACTCTTAGGGTANGTCCTTTGTGTGGACTGTGTGTGCCCTCCTATTGTAGTTGAACCTTGGTTGCTGTTTGTACGTCAGTGGGAGGGATTGACCCTTGGGCTGATTGGTTGTGAGGACTTGCCATAACTACAGTGGAGGAACTGTTATGCAGGGGCTGCTCTGTGGAGCAGGATTTGCTTTAGCAGGGCTTTGGTGTCTGCCCCGTCTCCCCTTTGGATGTGTCACCCATGGAGGCAGCCAGGTGGTGATCCAGCTGGGTCCAAAGCCAACCACCAGGTGTGCCAGTCCCTGGGCCTCCTGGAAGGGGCCCTACCACAGGCCAAGTTCACCCACAGCCTGTGTCCTGCCTGGGGCCACCTGCCATGAGCCACAAAGCAATCCATGATGGCAGCCACCAACGCTGGGCTTGGAAGTGCCTGGGAGAGGCCAAGCTACAAACCAAAGCTGGCTACCACTAGTGCCAGGCTTGGGGCTGCTCAGCAAAAGGTACCACGTACACCAAGGCCAGGTGCTGCTTGTTTGGGTTTTGTGAACCTTTGAGAGATTTTTTTAAAAGTCCACAGCATGAGCCAAGACAGGCCATTTGTGTGGAAAAGCCACTGGAAGCGGCTTGGGTGGGTCCACAAGTTGGGTGGAGTGGGGTCTCAGAAAATCACCAGGACTAACGTTAGCCAGGTTTATGGAGACTCAAACATGGTGGCTCCCTGTGTCTGCATGCAGGGAGTGTAGAGGGCTCAACTAAGAAATAATGGCTTTTGCCAGCACTTCTGTCTAGGAAAAAGCTGCTCCTCCAGCCCTTGCTCTGAAGCCAGACGACTCAGTTCCTCCCTGTATGTCCCTGGCGCCTTTTGAGCTGCTGCCGCAGCACTAGAACTCAGAACAAGTGAGCCTGCCAGAGTAAATGTGTGCAGTCCCTTTAAGAGGAGCACCTGAGCCTCCAGCAGCCCTCCATCTCACTCAGCCACAATCTACACTGGTTTTTCACAGGCAGAAGTTGTGGGGAGTTTTATTCCCAGCACTGAAACCCTGGGGTGGAGAGCTCTGTGTGGGGCTGGGACCCCTCGCTCCTCTGGGGTTACCTCCATGGCTGGGATATCTCGCTTGATTTTTTTTTTAAGGAGGGCGTAGCTCACAGTGGCCCATGTGGGGATCAAACTGGCAACCTTGGTGTTATTAGCACCACGTTCAGACAAACTGAGCTAACTGGCCACCCCTCCCTCACAATTTTTAACTGTCACGTAAGAGTTTGGTACCAGCCCATTCCACATCTCCACCCCTCCTACCAGTCTCAAGGTCATGTATGTCCTTAGTTGTAGGACTTCTGTTCAGCTAGACTTCAGGCAATTCTCAATGATGGTTGTTCTAACTATAG